TCGTTGCTTGTTGTTTTTCTGCCCTGGGCTCCTTTGAGAGGAAGAGCAAGTATCAATTAATAAATAAATAAGTTTGCCCCCCTGTGCAGTGGCCAGGCAGTACAAAGCAGATAGGACTAGTGGTCTGGCTCATCGGTGCAAGGGAAGTCTCCGGCTGTTCTTAGGAACCAGAGTGAAAATGAGGGAGCCCCAAAAAAGGTTGACCGTGACCTGTGGTCCTTTGCCTTTCTTACCTCATCAAGCAAGCACGTGACCAAAAGTCCCCAGGGAAAGATTTTTTTAGAAAACCCACAGGCTGAGGCGTATGGGGACCTCAGATACCATCCTTCCTCTTGTTGGTAATATGCTCCTCAGCTAAAAACTGGCATGTGTTCATATTGTGAAACTGAACCTTTCTCAAGGAGCTGTTGTGAGTCGTGACTCCTGTCGCACTTTTTCATTCTGCTTCGTAATTAGGCGCTTTGTTTTATCTTCTCAGCGGGGAGATCGGGGCTGAACGCAAAGTGGCTTGCCCAAGGCGGCCCAAATAGCTGAGTTAGAGAAAACCCGAATCTCCCGCTGTTCCCAGACCCATGACCCAATCACCTGTTTTTTCTCAGAAGTATTTTATGTTTGTTCAGCAATCGCGGTTGTCATGGCTACTGATTCATCAGGCACTTTCCACAATACATGGGGGGTAAACATTAATCAGCTTTTGCCAGTACAGAGCGGGCAAAGTGGACTCTACCCCCCCCCAGGGTGTTCGGGGAAAGGAACAACCACCAACAACAGCATGTAATGGATGCGATGGGACTGGAATGAAATAAATAACATTTTACAATTTCGCAAGGAATCCTTCTCTAGGTGGTAATGAGGTCTCAGATAAATCAAGTGACTCCCATAGGGCCTAAGATCTGCACTGAATAATGTCCAGTGTGGTGTAGTAGGTTAAAGAGCCGGTGGCACTCGTAATCTGGTGAAACCGGGTTCACGTCTCCGGCTCCTCCACATGCAGCTGCATGGTGACCTTGGGCCAGTCACACTTCTCTGAAGGTCTTCTCAGCCTCACTCACCTCACAGAGTGTGTGTTGTGGGAGGAAGCGAAAGGAGAATGTTAGCTGCTTTGAGGACTCCTTCGGTAGTGATGAAAGCGGGATATCAAATTCAAAACTCATTCTTCTTCTTCTATTAGCAAAATACGCCAATCAGAAAGGCCTAACAACCGCAGTTATGTACCAATTCAGTATACCCTGGTACCCCATTAGAACACTTTGAAATCTCTACTATTGGGAGGAAAGAGTCATAAATTCAGTGGCAGGAGCCAACTGCTTTGCATGTAAAAGGTTCAATCCCCGGCATTCTCCGGGTAGCAATGAAACTATCCCCTGCCTAAATCCCGTGAACAGCTGCCTTGCCAGCCAGTGTAGACAGTACTGGGATTTGGGCCAGTGAGGCTGACTCAGTATTAAGACAGCTACCCCACTACAATTGGCCAAAATGTGGAATATCGTAGAATATGTATTCTATTGATTTTTTGCGGGGGGGGGAGAATTCATTTGCCAGCCTCGTTGGCCTTAGTCATTAAAAAAACCTGTTGGCTTCCAGGCATTCAGTTTGTGAGCTGAGTTCACCCCGCATAAAAAGGCACCACCTCTGCAAAGCACAGGCAACCTGCTCACCACAGAGCTCGGAGGCCCACATGGCGTCATCTGGATACGTTTCCTGTTTAATCCTGTCCCTGAGCCTTTGTTATCGGTTGGAATTCAGTTCCGCCAACAGGAAGCCAGAGATAATTCATGCAGAAGCACTCACGGTGAGGATGAAGCGAGCAGGCATTGCCCAGGCTCTTGTGGGCCAGGATGTGAATAGCTTCTCGACTTCCTTGTAAAATAAAGTCAAATGTTGATATAAATGGAGCCACTTTCCTTCCGATCAGCCGGCCTTTCCCCTTCTGATATGAATGAGCCAACAAACACTTTTCAAAAACACTTCGCGTTTTTACCGTAGCTGGTCAAGGCTGCTGCTCACTCGCTGCGGTTTTTGTTCTTTTTAACAGCAGGCACCCTCCAAAGGTGCTTCAAGACAGCTTATTGCCAAAACCTTGCACGCTTCCACTTTTCTGACTACAATTCCATCAACCTAAAGCCAGCAGTGTGGGAACCTTTCGCTGTCGAGAGTCCATTCCAGGTGTGTGTAGTGGTTAAGAGCGGTAGACTCGTAATCTGCGGGAACCAGTTCGGCGTCTCTGCTCCTTCCCACATGCCAGCCTGTTGGGTGACCTTGGGCCAGTCACACTTCTCTGGAAGTTCTCTCAGCCCCATCACCTCACAGAAGTGTTTGTTTGTGGGGGAGAAAGGGAAGGAGAAATGTTAGCTGCTTTGAGACTTCCTTCGGTAGTGACAAGTAAAGGTAAAGTACCCCTGCCCGTACGGCCAGTTTCTTGACAGGACTCTAGGGTTGTGCGCCCATCTCACTCAAGAGGCCGGGGGCCAGCGCAGTCCGGAGACAACTTCGGGTACAGTGGCCAGCGTTGGACAAGCTGCCAATCTGGTGAAGCCAGAAGCCGCACACGGAAACGCCGTTACCTTCCCGTGGTAAGCGGTCCCTATGACTGCAAACTTCAAAAAGGTGCGTGCACTGCTAGCTAGCAAAGTGCGCTTGCTCAAAAGTAACTTTAGTTGAGTTCAGTGGAATCTGCCCCTTAGTAAATGTGTTTATAAGATCACAGGCTGGGGGGGGGGGGCTGGGCGGAAAGGAAGCTATCCAGTCCTGAAATCTGAATATGCACACTTAAAACAAAAACAAAAAAGAAATCTACAAAATTAGGTAACCTCTGTAGGAGCTGGGTGCATCTAGAAGAAGCAGGAAGGGAAAGCTAAGGAGATGTTAAGTGATGGGAAGAGAGCCAACCTAAATTTCAATGCAAACGAAGCTTTCCCTCAGCAGTCCACTTTGTGCTGCTAAAAATTCGAAATATCTCCAAAAACCTACCTGCCCTTTGGAAGTCTTGCCTCCCTCAGTTCTGAAGAAGAAGAAGAGAGCCCTCTTTTTGAAAGCCCACCCCTTTAAAAGTTTCTGTAGTTGACTAAGACTCTCTCTCTCTCCCTAACTGCTTTTTTTTAAAGAGCTAATTGATGAAATAAAGTTAAAGAGGAGGAGACAGACAGAGTTCTTCTTGTTTGGGGCCTGGGTGGAGGGGGGTGGTGGAGGGAGCTAAAGATTCCAGTTGCTGCCCCCACAGCTTTGACCAGTCAGGGATTTCAGACCTAATTACCATTTTGTTTTTGTCCAGATTAAAAAGTAGGGGCCCCCTCCATTCAAATCATGGCCCTCTGTCCTTATTGTGAAGGACAGGCCTGCTCTGGGTCCCTTTTAGATTCTCCGCTATTAAGAATCCTTTCCTTTGTGGAGGTGTTTTCCCATTCTCTCTGCCCACATTGTTGAGGGTCCTTCAGTCTCAGCTCTTCAAGAAAGTGTTTGCAAAAATTATACCTTTCTGCCAGCAACTCCGAAAGGGAGCAGAGGCTGTAGTTAGGAAAACATTATTGAGGCTTTAATTCAATTAAAAAATACTAGTATTTTTTTTTTATTGGAAGAGAGAAATATATGAATGGGAGGGACAGTGAATAACCAACACTCTTCTTAGTGTCTGGGGGCTAAAAGATATTTTATTGCAAAATATCTGTAACCATTATCCATCTATTTACTGATCTTGCCATTTATCCCTATGGCTATCTGGAAGGGGAAAAAAAGTTTAAAAATGGTAGTTTCAGGTGGCATCTTTGCAATATCTAAATATTATATGGCAACATAATATTGCACACAGACCTATGTGTAGATAAGTTCCCAATTCTTGTGTGTGTGTATGTTTGTGTTTGCATACAGAGACAGAGAAAAATGTATATTTCATTCACACAATGTAGTGCAGGCATACAAGCAAACAAATACATATGGGTTTGTGCAAATGTATTAACTTCTGCATATTATATGAACATGTAAATACTGGCACACATAAACATATCGTACACAGATATATGTAGACTTATTCACTAGTGTAATACATATATATATATATATATATATATATATATATATATATATAAAATGTATGTATATATTGCATGTATTTATTTATTTTTAAAATGTTTATATACTATTCACATTATAAAATATCAGAGCTGTGAACAGGAGACCAAAATAAGTAAAATATTCAGGAGAAATAAAGCAGTTAAAATTGCAATACAACATCAAAAGGTGATCAGCAGACAATAGTTTCTTTAAATTATTCAGAAAAGCATTCGATGCTCTTATGTCAGATATATACATCATATGTGTGTGCGTGTGCGCACGTGTACAAACACACATATATCTATCGATCTTCTCCGTGTGTGTCTATGTTTGTTTGCATTTATCTGCAATTCAGAGCCTTTTTTATATACCTTCTCAAAATTTACATGTATGAAGTCCACAAGCCATTGAGAAAATGGATATTAAACCTGCAGGAACTGCTGGGAGGGGGAATTCTGTATCACCCATTCATTCCTAGCCTTTTCTTTTCAGTCCTAGTTTCTTAATCTGGCAAGGCCAAGGTTTGAGAGAAAGAGAGAGAGAGAGAGAGAGAGAGAGAGAGAGAGAGAGAGAGATTTATTGTAACCAATGAATTTGCAAAGTGTGTTGGGGGGTGGGGAGGAGAGAGAACCCTCTGCTAAGGAAATAAGGCAGTATCTGACCCCTGCTCTATGGATGAGAGCTTTCTCGGGGACTCCTGCTGTGCTAAGATGGACCTTCAACATCAACTCTGAAATTGGTGTGATTTGCCTGGGAAAGCGGCAGCCATCGGCCAACTGGCCTTGACAAGACGAGGAGGGCAATGTATAGAAAGCATTTAATCACGGGTCACAAAAGCATAGGGAGAAAACAGGCACATGGGCAGCTCCTGGGCTGCTGCTGCAGCATCACTTCCTGTTTTCTGCTCCAGGAGGTGGTCCTTTGCAAGGAGGAGAAAAGAGAGTAGAGGTAGCCTGGCTGGGAAGGTGGGAGTTCATTGCCTCTCCCCTACTGCTTTTCTGGTGGAGAAAGAAGAGGAGGACGCAAAGCGGACTGGGACCCAGAAGGAGGTTGCATCCTGACCTGTGGTTGATTAGACCAGTCACCATTTTTTAGGGTTAGGGTTTTCTTGATGTTTAAAGAGAAGAGGGAAGAATTGGGAGGAGGAAAACAAAGGAGACACAAACAAATGTTCTTATGCAGAACAGGGAATTTCAGGGGACTGAGCTTTTCTCATCCCTGACAAGCTCTTTCCTCTATACAGCTGTAAAATGAACAAAGGATATGTCCCTCTGTGTATCTGGTACCCCTAAAGAGAGAAGTCCCACCCTCTCAGCTGTTTTGTTCCTTTGTCTCTCCTCCCCTCCCCCTCCCCACCTTCCTGGTCTCCTCTTCCTTCCACACACACACACACACACACACACACACACACACATACCCATTGAATTCAAGATTGGAACCCCCTTGGGGCAGAGTTCTTTCTGGTAGGCTTAGCTTGCTTTGTAAAGCTGAGTGTTCAGATGACTCTGTTTTAAATCATAGATTGCAGCGCTAGAATGTGAACTCAAGAAAATTAACAACACTAGCAGCAACAAACAAATAAGCAGTAAAAACATGGCTCCCGTATTGCAGACTGCAGTTAAAGGTGAGTTTTGGGTCTGATAGGACTGAACTGAAACAGATAAATAGATATGAAATGTGGAATACGTATGCCTGCTTCTTTCCCCTTCCCCAACATTTGTCAAGTTGGACATAGAAATCATTCTCTTTGATCTAGGAAATATTCACGGGACTGAATTGGTAGAAGGAGTCCTATAAACCGCATGAGGCTTTTTTTTTTCAGTTCCGCAAATCATATTCAGCCACATCTTTCCCCCTTCTTGACAAGTCTTCAGAATCACATTCACACCCTCGGAAAAACTCTGACAAACTTTGACTGGCGCAAGATAATCGGCTTAATCCATATTTCACAATTTGTCATTTGCAGATTCTCGGCTAGGCATGAAGGCGGGCTCACTCACAAGTCGCCGTTTGAATCCTGAAGCAAGCCACACAGGAAGCACATGCAAGATACAGAGATTTACAAATTATGGATTCGCAATCAACTAAGAACCGAGTCCGGGAATGACAAGGAGACAGCTGGTTCTACGAATTGGTGAAATAAATGCTGTCAGCAAAGTCCTCCCTCTTCCCCTCCCCACAAGTAGAACTCAAGCCGTTATGCGTCCTTTGAAGATAGGGAGAATCCATCATATTTGGGGTTATGTTGAGATGTTGTGATCGTAAGCCTGAATAAGTCATTTCCTAAGGAGAAAGTGGCTGAATGCAGATGTTCATGTACCAAGTGTTAACTTATATAGCATACACACTTGCTGAGGGAGAGCATGTCATTGGGTGCATGTAACCAGAGGCAGTTTTAGGGCAACACAACTAGTTGAGTCGCACTGGGTGCCACACTGCAAGGGACACATCAACAGTGCTATAGAACAAAGTGTGAGAGGCAGCGGGTGCCGCTGAAATTTGAGAGCCCTAAGTCCATCACTGGACGCGGGTGGCGCTGTGGGTTAAACCACAGAGCCTAGGACTTGCCGATCAGAAGGTTGGAGGTTCTAATCCCCGTGACGGGGTGAGCTCCCGTTGCTCGGTCCCTGCTCCTGCCAACCTAGAAGTTCGAAAGCACGTCAAAGTGCAAGTAGATAAATAGGTACCACTCCAGCGGGAAGGTAAACGGCGTTTCTGTGCGCTGCTCTGGTTCACCAGAAGCGGCTTAGTCATGCTGGCCACGTGACCTGGAAGCTGTACGCCGGCTCCCTCGGCCAATAAAGTGAGATGAGCGCCGCAACCCCAGAGTCGGTCACGACTGGACCTAATGGTCAGGGGTCCCTTTACCTTTACCTTTAAGTCCATCACTGATGCAACCATTTGGCAAGCTTCTGTCCTGCCAAATAGTGCAGAGAACTCCCCTACATTTCTACACCATTCCTAAAGTATTTATTATGTTTTTATTGTCCTGGTAGAACATCTGCTTTTCATGCAGAAGGGTATCAGATTCAATCTTCTCCATTTTCAGGTAGAGCTAGGCTGGAGATGTACCCAGTCTGAGCTTGAGGAACTGAATGACTGGCTCAGCATAAGGCAGGTTCCTATGATGCTCTCTCACTCTCTGGAGAGACAATGTGGTGTAGTGGTTAGAGTGTTGGACTACGGCTTGGGAGAGCAGGGTTCGAATCCTCACTCTGCCATGGAGTTCACTGGATGACCTCACTCTCAGCATAACCTACGTCACAGTCCTGTTGTGAGGCTAAAGTGGAAAGAAGGGGAGTTATGTACATCAATCTGAGCTCCTTGGACAAAAGTTGGGGTATGGAATCATAGAGTTGTAAGGGACCCTGAGGATCATCTAGTCATGGGGATCAAACCTGCAGCCTTAGCATTACCAGCACCACGCTCTAACCAACTGAGCCATCCAGGCCATGTAATAAATAAGCAAGATAAATGTCAGACCATTATGGTCTCTGAAAGTGGCTCATGTTAGTTTTGGTTTGATTTTTCTATTTTAAAAAATGAGCACAGGCCTATCAGGGGGAGGTGTGATGTGGCAGCTAGACTGGTGACTGGGAGTGGCCACCAAGAACACAAAACTGACCTTTAAAGCCCTAAATGGCCTCAGCCCAGTATACCTGAAGGAGCATCTCCACCCCCATCACTCAGCCCAGACACTGAGGTCCAGCTCCAAGGGCCTTCTGGCGGTTCCCTCCCTGCGAGAAGTGAAGTTACAGGAAACCAGGCAGAGGGCCTTCTCGGTGATGGCACCCACTCTGTGGAATGCCCTCCCATCAGATGTCAAAGAAATAAACAACTGGCGTTTAGAAGACACCTGAAATCAGTCCTGTTTAGGGAAGTTTTTAATGACTGATGTTTTAATGTATTTTTAATCTTTTGTTGGACGCCGCCCAGAACGGCTGGGGAAACCCAGACAGATGGGCGGGGTATAAATAACAAATGATGATGATGATGAAACTCACCTCACCCAGTGCTTTCATCAGGAGTAACTAACCTGTGCCCAAGGAGATGTTATTGGCTTGCAGCACCTAAAATCCAGCTCAACAGGACCTCATTTGAGGTGGTGGCCACAACTGAACACAGTATTCCAAGTGCGGACACCCCACAAATTTTGCATGACAGCATTATTATGTTGACAGTTTTAGTTCTGATACCTTTCCTAGTGATATCTAACATGGCATTTGATTTTTCACAACCGCTGTGCACTGGGTCGACTTGTTACTGAGCTACCTGCTTTTGGTTCTATACAAAGATAAGATAAAGTGAACATTCCATCAACGAAAGGATTTCTCTTTCTGCAATGGAATGTTCTCCCCCCACTCAAAATGGTCGCCACCTGTATATAATACACTGCTACACACTGAAACATGGAAGCTAGGCTGCCTCTACATGTGATGATCAAAAGAGGGGACTGTCATTGTGAACGGTAGCCCAGTACTACATCTTCTCCCTTTCTTCTGCACATAAGAACATGAGAATAGCCTGGTGGATCCAGTCCAATGGTCCATCTAGTCCAGCATCCCATTCTCACAGTGGCTTCCCTGTGGGAAACCAGGGAGCAGGCCATGACCACAAGAGCCCTCTCCCTTCCCATGGTTTCCAACAACTGGTATTTGGAAACCAGTGTGGTGTAGTGGTTAAGAGCGGTAGACTCGTAATCTGGGGAACCAGGTTCGCGTCTCTGCTCCTCCACATGCAGCTGTTGGGTGACCTTAGGCTAGTCACGCTTCTTTGAAGTCTCTTGTACATTCCTGGTAAGTTCCCTTGAATCCCTCGTAAAAGAATAAAGACGCCACAATCTTATTCAAAGTCAGTAAAAGAAGTTTACTCACATCAGTTCACAGTTGGATTCCTGAAGCCAGACGTAGTTACAAATACGTACATGTGGATCTACCCCATAGGGGGGAATAATCCCAGTGCTTCTGCTAGCTGAAAGCTGATCATATGAATAAGGGAGTCAAAAAGAGAGAGGTTGCTGCGTGACTCGTCCTTTTGTTACCTGGACAGCTTAGGTGGTGCCCACCTTCTATCACGTGCAAAAGGAAGGATGCTCCAGCCAGGAGGAACAGGAAGTTTTCGACTGGCTGGACCAAACATTCCCTCGCATGTCTTCTCTAGCATTTCAAGGAATGTTGTACTTGACTGCCTGTCATGGATCACATCCCACATGATAGAAGCTTACGAAATTATGTCTGCATGGAGAAAGCAGATAAAAACAAAGTTTTTCCCTTCTCTCCAAACACTACAACTCACGGGCATCGAATGAATCTGGGTGTTGGAAAATTTAGGACAGTTAAAAGAACATATTTCTTCTTGCAGCACATAGTCAAACTATGGTACTGCCCAGGAGGCAGAGATGGCCACTACCTGGATGGCTTTAAAAGAGGACAAATTCATGTGGGATGTGATACATAAGAAGCAGTCAAGTACAACATTCCTTGTTTTCCTAGAATGGACATGCAGGGGAATGTTTGGTTCAGCACATCGAAAACTTCCTGTTTCCTCCTGGGCTGGAACATCCTTCCTTTGCATGTGACTAGAGGTGGGTGTGACCTTACCTGTCCAGGTAACACAAAAGGACAGGACACACAGCTCGCTCTCTCTCTCTCTCTCTCTCTCTCTCTCTCACTCCATTCATCATTGGAGCAGCTTTTTAGCTAGAAATGCTCTGTTGCTTTCAGCCAACAGAGGACACTGGGATTATCTCCATATGGGATAGATCTACATATATATATCCGTAACTAAGTCTGCCTTCAGGGATCCAACAGTGAACTGATGATGTGAGTAAACTTCTTTCACTGACTTTAAATAAGATTGTAGCATGTTTATTCTTTTAAGAGGGATATAAGGGAACTTACCAGGAACCTAATAGTGAGAGGCTTACACAAGCCTGTAACCAACTATCCGCTATGTATGTAAAAGGGGAATGTAAACTCTGCTAAGTAAAGGAACTTGCCAACACAAGTTAGTAAGGATATTAATAAACAATATATCCTCTTCTGCCTCCCTGCACATTCCCACACTTTGGGGGCAGGATACCTGAAAGACAACCTCACCTCTTATATGTGCAACTGATCGCTGTGTTCTGCAGGAAAGGACCTGCAGCAGATGCATTCTATCAGGAGGTGTGTTCTGCACAACGTAGGAACCAGGCCTTCTGTTTTGTGGCACCTACCCTTTGAAATATTCCCCCACCCTACCCCAAATATTAAACTGGCGCTATCTCGGTGGTTTCTTCAGCACCTGCTGGAGACCTTCCTCTTCTACAAACCTTTTAAAGCAAAGATCTTTCCCAGCCTATCTCCGTTTTCAGACATTTCCAGACATTTCCGTTGTTTTATTGCTTGTGTGTTTGTCGTCCTGGGCTGCTTTAGTGGGATTGAAATGTAGTAGTAACAAAGCCCTGTAAACCTGGCACCAGCCACATGCCCACTAATTTAACCTTAGGTAAAAGTAAAGGGACCCCTGACCATTAGGTCCAGTCGGTGACGACTGTGGGGTTGCGGTGCTCATCTCGCTTTACTGGCTGAGGGAGCCGGCGTACAGCTTCCGGGTCATGTGGCCAGCATCACTAAGCCGCTTCTGGCGAACCAGAGCAGTGCACAGAAATGGCGTTTACCTTCCTGCCAGAGTGGTACCTATTTATCTACTTGCACTGGTATGCTTTTGAACTGCTAGGGGGGCAGGAGCAGGGACTGAGCAACGGGAGCTCACCCCGTTGTGGGGATTTGAACCGCCGACCTTCTGATCGGCAAGCCCTAGGCTCTGTGGTTTAGATGGAGGTAAAACATGGAGCAGAGCCACCCCTGATGATTCAAGAGGCAAGAAAGGTCTTGCAAGAACAGGATACATTGAATTCCAGGTGGGGTGGGGTGGGGTGGAGGGTTCTGCTAAGTAAACATGCATGAATCAGGCTGAATAAGCAAGCATTATATTAGGCTTCAGGTTCATTCTATTTATTTGTTTGTCTGTTTTTTTTATCACGCCTTTCTTCCCATAAGACTTCAAGGCGAACATCAAATGAAAACCGAATGAAAATAAAGCTAACAAATACAGGGGCAGCGGAACTTGAAATAGTAATAACATGCTACCCAGGCATACAATTTTAACATACAATTTCATTTTAACATGCATATTTTAAACAAACGCTGATCAATTTGTGATCAGCTTTTTAGGTTTAATCGCTTTTAATCTTTGCTTTTATCAATATTTTTAAATATACTCTGCAAGCCACTTAAAGGTTATGGATGACTAAGTGGCCTGAAAATCCCATTCAATGAAAATAATAATCCAAAGGTGCTCCATAAAATAATCAAAACAGCTTCTGGCAGGATTGAATGATTTAACCAAAAGTCTTCCAAAAAGGCTTTGCAATGTGATGAAAGGCCGTTCAAGAGGACAGTAACCTGGGCTTAATTTGGGAACAGGATTTGATATCCTGCTTTATCACTATCCTATGGAAGTGAGAGCTGGACCATAAAGAAGGCTGATCGGTGAAGAATTGATGCTTTTGAATTATGGTGCTGGAGGAGACTCTTGAGAGTCCCATGGACTGCAAGAAGATCAAACCTCTCCATTCTGAAGGAAATCAGCCCTGAGTGCTCACTGAAAGGACAGATTGTGAAGCTGAGGCTCCAATACTTTGGCCACCTCATGAGAACAGAAGACTCCTTGGAAAAGACCCTGATGTTGGGAAAGATGGAGGGCACAAGGAGAAGGGGACGACAGAGGACAAGATGGTTGGACAGTGTTCTCGAAGCTACCAACATGAATTTGACCAAACTGCGGGAGGCAATGGAAGACAGGAGTGCCTGGTGTGCTCTGGTCCATGGGGTCACGAAGAGTCTGACATGACTAAACAACAACAACAACAAAGGTGTCTTAAAGCGGCTAACATTCTCCTTTCCCTTCCTCCCCCACAGCAAACACTCTGTGAGGTGAGTGAGGCTGAGAGACTTCAGAGAAGTGTGACTAGCCCAAGGTCACCCAGCAGCTGCATGTGGAGGAGCAGGGAAGCGAACCCAGTTCACCAGATTACGAGTCCACTACCCTTAACCTCTACACCACACTTGTATGTAATTTTTTGAGCTGCTTGAGCCAATCAGAAGACATGCAGACCAATCCAAGTCACCTCAAAGGGGCATTTTGTTTCTGGAGCCAATGTCTAGTGGGCATTGGAACTTAAGAAGCACCCTGCTGGACAAGACCAAAGTCCCATTTAATCCTGCACCCTGCCCTCACATTTGCCGGCCAGATGCCTGTGAGAAGCCTGCAAGCAGGAACTGATTGCAGTGATATACAGAGAGAGAGAGAGAGAGAGAGAGAGAGAGAGAGAGAGAGAGAGAGATTTTGCATGAAACCCTGTGGAAAGGCATCAGCAGTTCAGATTTGCCTACAAAGTAAATGCACAAAGTACATAAATGCATCAGTACTGATTATCTTCACGCAAGACTCTTTTCCACTAGCCACACTGCAGAGATGCGTTTAGCAGCAAATAAGGCCTATGCACAACCGCAACACGTTCCATAATCTCCATCCTGCTTCTGTGCGTTTCTCTGTTTTGAAAAGCCCAGCCTGGGCTCCTCTGCGCTGCAGATTTATTGCACAGTTTTGTCATTTATTTCCACAGGGCACCGTGGGAATTAACGCTGCGAGGGAAGGTTACTGGTCTCAGACAGGAAAATTGTCACAGTTCACTAAACTACAATTCCCAGGATCCCTTGCAGGAAGCCATGACTGTTAAGGTGACATAAAAGAGAGGCAATCAAAATCTTGGCGTGCCATATGTATGGAAACTGCAATAACTAGCCTGGAATGGTTTACTATGCTGCAAAATGTGCAGCTGTTTGAGAGAGAGATTTTAGATCTAAAGGAAATCTATTGCTGCTATTAATGCTGCAGATTCATAATTTAGCAAAATATCATGTGTCCAACTGGCAAAGGGTTTTTGTGTTTATTAGCAGCCATTTCTGATACTTTGAATCACTATGAGCTTGTATTATTCATTGTTTGATGAATTTTGCTGGGGCTTTTTGCCCTATTTATATGAAACTGTGTTTTTGATATCATTAAGGAGGCTGTGACATTTGTTAATTTTTGATGTTAAGTTATTGTTGTGAGCCACTCTGAGCTTAGCATTGTTGCTGGGAAAGTGGAATGCAAATATTAATTCCAGTCAAACAGGTTTTGTTCTGGTAAAGGTGATTCTGAAAGGCAACTTCATAGGCTTGGCGATCAGAAATACTTACCGTATTTTTTGCTCTATAAGACTCACTTTTTCCCTCCTAAAACGTAAGGGGAAATGTGTGTGCATCTTATGGAGTGAATGCAGACTGCGCAGCTATCACAGAAGCAAGAACAGCAAGAGGGACTGCTGCTTTCACTGCGCAGCGATCCCTCTTGCTGTTCTGGCTTCTGAGATTCAGAATATTTTTTTTCTTGTTTTCCTCCTCCCAAAACTAGGTGCGTCTTGTGGTCTGGTGCGTCTTATAGAGCGAAAAATACTGTACTTTGTCTTGTCTCTCTTCCCCCTTTGCATGAAACAGGGTCAAAGGAAGGTAAGAAAAATGGATAGACAGTGAAAACTTCACCTTTGTTACATGAAACTATCATATACTAAGCCGGGCAATTATTATATTATTATATTATTACATTATATTTTTATTATATCCCTAGCTCGCAGGACCAGTAGCCAGGGGTGATGGGAACTGTAGTTCAAAAACAGCTGGAGACCCAAGTTTGGGAAACCCTGGTCTAGTTCAATGTTGCCCACACTGACTGGCAGAAGCTTTCCAGATTTTCAGGCCAGGCTGTTTCCTAGCCCTACCTGGCGATGCCAGGAGGTCAACCCTGAGACCTTCTGCGTGCTGAGCAGATGTTCCACCACTGAGCCACATTCTCCCAAACAGCATTTTCTGGCCTTGTTACTCTGTGCTTTATCCCACCGCACCCCCCAAACTGCAATTCCCAGCACCCTTTAAAATAACTACACTCCCCGTGATTACTGGGGTAAGCTTATGTGCTTTAAATGTTTAATATGGGCATGGCTTGCCCTATGTCTTTCTTTTCCTCCCTCCCTGTGGTACCTGCCCGCCTCCAAATCCCAACAAAGTTAAGTATTTTTTACAAATTCCAGTCTCTCTTCCCTCCAACTCCCCAGTTAAAAACAATGTGACTTGAAAATATGTTTTAACAAATTGGCCCAGTCATACTATTAGGCTGTAAGCTCCTGGAGGCAGAGACCTCTCCTCTTCTTCTTCTTCTTCTTCTTCTTCTTCTTCTTCTCCTTTCCTCCTCCTCCTCCTCCATAATTTGTCAGGTGCACCTGCCTAGGTTTCCAATTTGCTCCCCACAAACCAGTTCATTATAGTCCAGTGTGTTCAAAATGAATTCAGCTTGCTTTATCATTGGAGGCCGCCTTGAGCCGCACAGGAACTGCTAAAATAAGGAAACAACCAAGCGTCTTTCTAACAACCCAATCTCTCGCCACCCGAATGGGCTGCTCCTGCTCAGAAGCTGTTGTGCAGAATATCTTGCTGCTTTCAGTGGCAAGCACATGCAGAAGACCCCGGTTTAAGTCCCCAGCACCTCCAGGGTGGTGCTGGGAGAGAACCCTGCCTGAAACAATGGAGTGCTGCTGCCAGCCAGTGTAGGTAGACCAATGGGCTGACTCAGCAGAAGGCCGCTTTCAATGTCCCCAATGCAACATAAAAGCAGAGACATCACCTTGCCAACAAAGGTCCGTATAGTTAAAGCTATGGTTTTCCCAATAGTGATATATGGAAGTAAGAGCTGGACCATAAAGAAGGCTGATTGCCGAAGAACTGATGCTTTGGAATTATGGTGCTGGAGGAGACTCTTGAGAGTCCCATGGCCTGCAAGAAGATCAAATCTATCCATTCTGAAGGAAATCAGCCCTGAGTGCTCACTGGAAGGACAGATCCTGAAGCTGAGGCTCCAATACTTTGGCCACTTCAAGAGAAGAGAAGACTTCCTGGAAAAGACCCTGATGCTGGGAAAGATGGAGGACACAAGGAGAAGGGGATGACAGAGGACGAGATGATTGGACAATGTTCTTGAAGCTACCAACATGAGTTTGACCAAGCTGCGGGAGGCAGTGGAAGACAGGAGTGCCTGGCATGCTCTGGTCCATGGGGTCACGAGGAGTGCCTTGCAGTGTTGGCTGCAGACATGAAGCAAACCAGAGTGGCCGGAGTTCTGCCCAGCAGACCAGCTGCCCTTTCCAAGCCTCTGGACAAACTGACATCTTGCTTTACCCCCTCCCCCGCCACTGCCATCTTAAAAGCATGGGGTGGGGACAAACCATTGCATTGTTTAACATTGTTTTTATCGCTGTCAATATCAATATGATCTCAGGTGCCCATTTTCTTGCCTGGTCTAAGCGAGTCCCCAGCAAAACTCTCTATTGCACCAGTGTTTACTCGCTCTGGGGAAATGCGCCTCAATGTGGCCAGAGAAAGCCCAAAATAGCATCCCCACAAACCCAAAGGGAAGCGCCCACACTTGCAATCAGAGGGCTGAGCATAAATGGAAATTTGCTTGACCATTCCTAGGGGCAAAGTAACCCCTCCTCCATCTTCTTCTAACTTGTGGGGTGGCAATTCCAAGGATCTTAAGAGCTGCGGAACATCCCACAATGAGCCAAAAAACATCACTGGGTGCTGACAGCCCAAAGCAGGGCAGCGAAAACCCCATTTCGGTCCTTGCTGTCCTGAGAAACGACTAAAATGGCATAGAATGACATTATGTATCCATTATCTAGTTCACAAAAGGGAAAGAAGGTGGTGGGTGCGTGGATTGGGGAAATCATTATTCCTTCCTGCTAATAAAGGTGCATTTTGGGGGGAATTATTTTTATTTCCTTGTTCGCACCCAGGATTCTCTCGGGGCAGGAGAAACTGGGGGTCGGAGCCCCAACCGGGGCGATGCGCCCTGGAGGCGATGGTGTCTCCTTGCGATTCTGCATACATTCAGGAGCCGGTGGGAAGTGTGTGGGGCTGGGGGGTGGGGGTGAGAGAGAGAGAAGCGGCAGTGGGAGTTTGCTGCGGTGAGGGGTGTGTGGAGGCGGGGGGGGCGGGAGGAGAAGGCATTCTTCTGCTCGGCGAATGTTTGAGAAAGAGCTGGTGAGCTGGTGGCTATTGTGTGCTCGTAAGACAGGGAGGTGAGGAGGAGAGGGGGGAGGGGGGCTTCGAGACCCCCTCCCCCCTCCCCTTGGTGTGGATTTGCTGGCCAAAGACCGTTAGGAGCGGGCAGAATGAATGCCATTGAATGGGGGATGCGTTTCAAAGGGCCCCACCTCCTTTCTTAAGGGGCTGAGGGGCCGGAATCTCAGAAGTACCTTGGGAAAAGCTCACAGCGTCCCCTCATTTTACAACCTAGAGAAAGACTCTGAGAAATCAGAGGAGGAAGGGGGGGCGCACAGAGATAGACTGGGGGCTGTCGAAGGTGAGTGATGATGGGGAGGGAGACATTGGTATTTATTTTTATTGCAGATCTGCACACCATGTTTTTTATTTTATTTTATTTTTTAATAATAATAATAGTAATAATAATAATAATAATAATAATAATAATAATAATAATAATAATAATAATATCAACTCTTAAGGAGGCCAAGAAGAAGAAAAGGACAAGAAGACCAGAGAAGATTGCAGCCCCTTTGTAAGTCCAACCAGAAAGCGGGTTTTGTCCTCGTTTTTCAAATTCCACGTGGATTTTATTTTCTCTCTCTCACCCTCTCCCCCCAAATCTAGATTTTTTTTGGGACATTGCAACAAAAGATCCACCTGCGTTTACGGAGCGCCTGTTTGTGTGCACCTCGATAAGAATGTGATGCGGGAATGTTTTATAAAATATACAGTACGTGTGTGTGTGTGTGTGTGAGAGAGAGAGAGAGAGAGAGAGAATTCTATAATATGTGGTCTGACTCTGACAACATGTGTCCGCTTGCGAATATATCATTTTGTCCCCTCCCTTTCTCTCCGATGTGTGATGTTTGTGTGTACGCACCTTCTTACTATATAGATAGTATCTTCCCAGTTATAAATCAGTGGGAAGCACTTAGGGGGGGGGATAAGCGATGGAGGTGCCGAAATCTGTAGCCCGAATAAGATTGTAGATGCGGAGAGGAAAAATTTGTTGAGCGTCGCTCAGATCAGCAAAATGAACGATGGGTTTTGCTTTTAGAAAGAAGTCTGGCTTTTTTAGTCAATTGCATGGAGAGGTTTTGGTGTGTTTCTTATTTTATTTTTATTTTTTACCGAGGTGCGTGTGGGGGTGTTGCGTTTGGGGTAGGTGCCGAACCGGCAGGTTTTTAAGGATAATCGTTTGCTTGGTGGATTTTCTGGTCTTATGGACTGGGGAATGGGGTGGTGGGGTGGTTCCCCCCACTTTAATGCGCCCCCCCCTTTGCGGGTGTATTGGAAGGTCTGGAGAAGGAAGGAGCGAAATTCGCACGTTTACGATCTCTTTGTCTGAGAAACAGTAGGTGGTGGTCTGGGGGGAGGGGAAGGAAAGAAAGGAATGAAGGAAGGAAGAAAAGGTCTCCGAATCAATTGGCTCCTCTGATCATTAAGAGAAAGAAAATGGACACATTTGGGAGCATTATTTAAAGAAATGCAATTGGCCTTAAAGCGGAGAGGGTGAAAATGCCAACAGAGAAATGTTCAGCGAAATGGATCAGATATAACTACATCTCCCTTCCAAAAGAAAAGAAGAGGCGCTTTAAAAGGTCGATTGTAAACAATCAAATGCTGGGACTGAACAATAAAATAAAACGAAACGGTATTCAGATGGCCCATGGAGATCAGCGCTCCGCGCACAAACCTTTCGATTTTCCTTCTCCGGCTTTTTCAAAACCCCAAAGTTCTTATTTTTCTTCTCCCCATCTCCCTGAGCCCTTCTCTTGGTCTGGTCCCACAGAGATAGGGAGGAACAACTCCCACCTTTCTTTTCAAGACCACGAGGCTGAACAATTAAATGCAAAATTGCTAGGACGAGCCGCGATGGTGATTTCAATGACAGGTGGACTTTAATCCGCATCCCACCCCCCTCGCGCGCGCGCGCCGCAATGCACACTCAGCCGAGTAGAAACACGGCCTAGATCTCTCACCGCCACCTTTAATTGCCCCGATCCGCAGCCCGCTTAAGCCGGAGACGCTGGAAATGCAGGCCAAACAATTCTCATTCATGGTACTGAACGCATTGGCTCTGCGGTTGTAGGCTAGCAGTTCCTGGTGTCTGTAAGCTTAACTGTGTTGCAAATCGTTTCGTTTGCTTTTTTTTAGTTAATTGCTTTTCAGTCTACTTGCTTGCTTGCTTGCTTGTTTGTATTGTGGTGCCTTTTCCGTTCCCTCAGTCAACTTTGCTAGACTTTAAATGGGACTTAGCAGATCGGTTTTTACTGAGGACTAGCAACTGTACAAGGCGCCTTTAAAAGGCCAATTGACTTCACTGAGGGAGCCCAGGAGGCGCTTTAACGTGGCGACATCTGCTGCTGCTTGCCACATGCGACTCACCCACCGGCGCCTGTCAAGTGGGGCGCTTTGCAGGGCAATTTCAGCGCGAGAGCGGGCGGCTCTCTGCCCCGAAGAACATGCAATCAAGAAAGAGGAAGGGCAATGGCAGGGCGCCCGGAGAGAAGGCAAGGGGCCTTGAGATCGCTGTGTGGATAATATGCACCCGCGGATAATAAAAAACCACTACCCCTTTTCCTTTTTAACGTTCCGCTCCGCAGTGAAAAGCCACGGCCTTTCGAAGGATTTCAAATAATAGAATTGTAGCGTTAGGAGGGACCCAATGGGTAATCTAGCCCAAACCCCATTGCTGGGATTTTGTATATTCCAGGAAGGAAGGAAGGAAGGAAGGAAGGAAGGAAGGAAGGAAGGAAGGAAGGAAGGAAGGACGTTGATCTTACAGATACTTTTGATTTATGGGGGAAGGGGGATCTAAGGGGCAGCTTAAAGAAAAGACTGAGAAGCGGGTGGGGGCGAGGGGAGCAGAAGGGAGGGAGGCGGAGGAGGCAGCAAAACTGAGCCTACACGGAGGTAGGTGCAAGTGTGACCAGGGAAGGCGAGCGCGGGTTGCATCAATACCATGGACAGCGAAGCTGCGCGCCGCCGCCGCCGCCGAAGCGAGAAGCCAGGCCCGTTGGCTACGGTAGCGGAGGCGCTTCAGCACCATTTGGACCGCACAGCTGCATGGCCACCGTCCACCGCACCCCACCCCGTCTAACTTTGCTGGGTCAGGCAGAGAACGGCGAGGCAGGGGGGGCCACAAGGGCCCGGAGAGAAAAGGGGACCCGGGTGGCAAGAGGGGTGAGCTGGTTTGGGTGACTGGTGCTCGGTGTTTTGTTTTGTTTTTGTTTTGTTTTGTTTGGGGGGGCTCGGGGGGTTGCCCACCAGAGGGAATGGGGGTTTCACTCTCCCCCCAAAATAATCACTGGCCCTATGCTACTACCCCCTCCCAAAAAAATGTCCTCCTTTTCCACATTTTGGTGCCTTTTAAAAAGGGAAACTGGGGGAGGAGAGATTTAAAGAATACAAGAGATTCGGCAGCTTCTTCGTAGAAATTCAGCCTGACTTTGAACTCTTCAAATGTGAAAGATTGGAGGCGTTTCGAAGGCCTAGCTGGATGACAGGAACTAGGAAGACCAGCTAGCCAAAGTTGTACATTATTATTATTATTATTATTATTATTATTATTATTATTATTATTATTATTATTATTATTTATTTCAATTGGGGAGGTTTACTCCGGAGTCAGTCCTCTTCAATGAGGCTCCCTCCTCAGCAATGACACTCGCGCGTTGTTGTTTTTTTAAAAAACAAACTTTGCGTCTTTTCCCAGTGGGATCAACGCTTCCATTGTGGCCGGAACCGTGGCTTCCAGAGATCCCCCCCCCCTGCTTACTCACGCCCTACACACCTTGAAGGTTGAGATTTCTCGCGGATGGTTCTGCAAGAATCTGCAGCCCTCAACAGATCCGCTGCTGCTTTGCAAACCCGGATTATGATTTTTTTCTTATTTCCCCCTTTTATTTCTCCCCACCCACCCACTCGCCAGTTCTCTCGCAATTTTTCAAAACGGGGGAAATATTGGGACTCGGGCGGCTTTGCTGCGCCTTAACAGGCTTGTGGATCGGTCTGGGTGAGGATACGGCCCCGCCTCGCCACCAGCAACCGCAGGATGGTTTTATGATCTATTCCAAGGGCGGAATAGAAGAAGAATCCGTCCGTTTGTTTGGCCCCTGGCGTCTTTGAGTGCCACGTTCAGAACAAAAATTGGTTACATCCCAGTGCTTTTCAGGGAGGGAGAGCCCTTCCTATTTGCAAACCTCCCCCCTCCCCCACGTCGCCGCGCATATATATATATATATATATATATATATATATATATATTCTTATCTTGAAAATATAGTCATGAATGACAAAACACCCCAAAATCTTGCCTTGAAACAAACAATGGAACCAGTGGAAGGTTTTGTGTGTGTGTTCAGAGCTGGCTTTTGCAGTAGTACGGTGTGTTCGTGTGTACACTATCTTCCGTCTCTACAGCTATAAATATCGAAAAATCAGGAGCCTCTGGCGTTTTGCAATTGCGTGGTGTGCGTATATATCTCGATACATGAGAATGTTTTTTTTAAAAAAAATACTCTTCCCTGATAGTTATGCTTCTTAATAATATAATATTATTTATTCTATCTTTGGTTGGAAAGACGGGTGTCAGGGACACTTTTAAATATATATACACACAGAGATGAGAGAGACCCAGTGTTTTGGAACCAGACGGCAGAAGGTTGGTTTAGCTTACCTAGGGAAGGGGCTATTGCGAGTTCAGGGAAGAGAAAAACCAGAATGATAGGGACTGAGTGGGTTTTAGATGCTGGGCGCGGTGGGGTCGCGCGCAGGCATAGCATCTCATGCAAGTGGACGGTTATGTAACCCGGAGGCCGTCGATCTTCCCCCGCGCGCTTGCGTGAGCTGGGATCCCTGCTCCTTCCTTCACACTGGGCAAAGGCCGGCCAAAGCCCTCGTCGATGGGGCCGAATCCAGCATAGACCTTCCATTCTGCGCCGTTCTCTGTGCCCAGGCTGCCCTGGGAATCATCCTTCGCAGGGACCTGCTTCTCAGTGGACGCCCATAGGATCCCGCGGGTGACAGCGCTTGGCTTGGCTAGGATCGTGGCCATTCCTGACCCCCCTCCTCCCGAAAAAAAAGATCCTGCGTGAGGATCGTATCCAGCCTGACGTAAGGACTGAAGGCAAGCAGATAGGCATTCAGGTCTTGCTCAAACCTCTCCCAATAGTGGTGGTGGTGGGGGGACACCCTTCTTTGGGGCAGGATCCAGACCTCCGGCATTTATGCGCCAATTTCCCCATCTCCGCGTGCAATCTTAATGTATGCGTGTGTGTGTGTTATTTTACGCAAGCTTAAGGCCCTTTATGC